TTTTTTTTTTTTTTTTGATGGCGTAGTGGTTTAGCGTGACGATTACGAAACCGACGATACCGAGTTCGAATCCTCAACCTTACAATTTTTTTCTTGCAAAAAAGGGGTAGTGACGTGTATGTAATCGTTCAAAGTCGGTTATAGGCTAACCCATGTGGCTTTTAATAAGTTATAAAATCAAACAAAAACAATTTCATAAGTTTTATAAAGTCACGGTTTAAAAAAAAAAAAGATTCGAAACGGTTATGAATATAATAATAATAATAATAATAATTTAAAATTCAACGTGCGATGTTTGTGCATTTAAAAGTTACCATGCGTGCATTCGTACGATAAATTTCATAATAATAATAATAATAATAAAAAAACGAATCGTTAATTTTTTTTTTGTTTAACGATTGCAAAAGTTTAAAAAAAAAAAAAAAAATCAATATCGAAATAGTTGAGTAAGGTACAAACGACAAACGACAAACGGTTTTTTTTTTTCTTAATGTTTGTTTTATTCAATAACGTAAGAGAGAGAGAGAGAGATTTAATTCAGGTACACGTTCGAATGAATTTTTCGTTGTTGTACAAAAAAAATTTCATTGAGATTATTATTTTCAATGTTATAGAAAATTCTAGAATGTTTAAATATTTTAATTATCGGTTCACCCATTACAGAGAGGGTATCGATAGAATGAATGAATGAATGAATGAATGAATGAATGGGAAATTTCTTACCTGTAAAATATTCTTCGACTGATGGTAAATAATTGGCTTGACAAAATGTCGTTAAATTTTGTACGTTTCCAGTTTCCGTCGTGTCATTAACGATAAAATCCGTATTGAATTTATAATTGGTTGAACTTTTTGTTGTTGTTAAATTATAAAATAATTTCTTATCATCCATTATCCTTAGTTTTTAAAATTGATAACTCGTACCTGAAATAACAAAAACCAAAAAAAAAAAAAAAAAAAAAAAATTAATGAAACGTTTCCTTTAAAAAACAAAGAACAATTTATTATTATTATTATTATTATTATTTTGTTTCGCGATTTGTAATTATAGATGAACGAACCTTTCGATAATATCGTATCGATTCGACTATTTTAAAAATATCGAAATGACGTCAGAGAAATTTAAATTATTTTATTATTATTATTTTTTTTTTCGATTTAATTCGTCGGCGTCTTTGTCGTCGTCTTCGTCGTAAACCTAAAATCCT